ATCTATTGGTGGGAAGCTGCATCTGCTGGAAACCGGGTCCAGTGTCCCAGAACAACATGTTTCTTTGTTTACACAGACATTCGGTTGCGGCAGCCGGTAGCTGTATAGTCCATCCACGAGAGAGGCGATTTGTCAATCTGGCCACACACCTACTCAATATCCTGAGTCGTTTGCCTACATGACAGGTTTAGTTGGGTGGTAGTAGACCCGAGCACAATGGCTGCTATTTCCGTACAGTCATGGAGCCGGGCCCCATCACCCACGAACGGGCCGCAGTGCATGTAGGCAAAACCGGCCTCCCGTTCCCCCGCCCCCACCCTTTGGAACACGAGTTTTTTGAACAATGTTAAACAATAGTAGACTGTGTTAGTTATGTTTTGAGACTGATATGTCGTGATGTTTTCTGGTACTTCGTCATGCGGGTGTTTGGGGAGTACAATCTAACCCCCTAACCCCTAAAGCCTCAGCACATTACAGTCTCTTTTATTGCAAGTCATGGTAAGTTAGTCAAGTGAAAGCCAGCCGGAGCTCCAGCATGCCAGCACAGCCTTAGAGCAAAGTTGCAAATTAGCAAGCTGTGCCTGTTTCCAGACAGGGGCAGCCAGACTGACCCAGACACCGGACTCTCTGCTCCGCACGAGGACGGTAGACTCTGCTGCCTTGCACTCCGTCTGTCCAACACCTCCTGTCCTTTTTCTCCATTGTCAGACGCCAGCTGCTTCCTCAGAGTGGCTGACCCCATCGCCCGCAACTGCGGTCCCCAACTATCTCTTGTGATCTGTCTGAGCGGCACTCCCGCGGGAGGTCTCAGAGATGATGTTCGGGCGGAGGGCGCGGGGTGCAGCTTTTGTAGACTCTGCTGCCTTGCACTTCGTCTGTCCAACACGTCATGTCCATTTTCTCTGTTGTCAGACGCCAGCTGCTTCCTCAGAGTGGCTGACCACATCGCCCGCAACTGCAGTAGAGAAGGCTGGGCAGGAAAGGTGAGGGGCCGGCCGGGAAAGGTGAGGGGACGAAGAGGGTGAGGGGGGGACTGGCGGAGAGGGTAGCAGACRGGGGGKGGGGGTCACTGCAGAGCAGGGGCAGGGGCATSGGAGATCAGCAGAAAATTGGTAGGAAGGTACGGGACTGCGAAGTCATCGAGGGATCTCCTTTGCCACTCGGGCTCGTTCGCCCTCCAGTTAAGCCATCGTATATTGAGGCCATCCGTCAATTCAGAAAAGGCTTTGTGCGGGTCCTGCCAAATCTGGCAGTAGGATTCTCGCAGGGCTTCCCTGAGAGCGGGGTCCCTTTCATTTTGATAATCGCGTTTCATATCCTTCCAGGCCCAATGTGTAGCGGATCTGATCTCATCTTCCATCACTTGTTGTGCTTGTTGGAGGCCGAACTGGTGTTCTTTTCTCTCAAAGGAGCATCTAGCTCTCCAAGCCTGCATAAGGACGTGTAGCCTCATATATGAAAAAAGGTTATTGGCAAAGGGTGAACAGTTCGCCAGCAGATGTTGATTTTTGCCAAGCAGGATGAGGCCCAGGTCCCACGGGATATGGGTATCCGTGAGTGAATGAAACGCAGCGTCCCACCACCTCCATATCTGGGCAGCCATCGGGCATGCCAACAGGCAGTGCTCGAGTGTCGCCCTAGCTGGCTGTGTCGCCCTGCCGCAGTAGGTGCAGATGGGGGACAGCAGGCCCCTTTGCTCAAGGTCCGTTYTTGAGACGAGCCAGTCGGGGGTGGGAAGGCAGCGATGCAAAATTTGCCATTGCAGGGACCTGAGGCTCGTTGGCATAATATTGGAGTACTTAGCCCAAGGGAGGTTATTGAGCAGCTGCGGGTACAGCGGTGAGTCCCGCTGCCATCTGTGTGCTATGGTCTGTTGAATGTGCTGCTGCGGGCGAGACGCTCTGTTCCCCCCTTTGACTCTGTAATCCCAAATATGCATGGGTTGTTGGCACGTCCATTCCCAGTCATCAGGGTCGAACGGAAGACGGGCAACTGGCGTGGCAGGCTCAAGTGCATGGTAGCCGTTGTCGGGGTCACCCACGACTCTCACATTCATCAGCCCTGCCCACAGTTCTGTAGTATCCGAGTCTTCATCCCGGGCTGGTTGGGAGAGCTGCAGCCCTGGAGCGCACAAGGCAAAAGCTTCCAATGTGCAGTTCCCGGCTTCTATGTTGTGCACTCTGTAGACAGTGGCCGGTCTGGGTAGGTCGGCATACCTAACCACCCAGTCTTGAGGTTGAATCGTGGGGCCGGTTTTGAGGGTTTGCCACCAGGCCAGGGGGAGGGCTTCTGTGATCTGGTGGGCCTTATCAGCCATGTTCTTAACGTGCTTCAGCTTGGCTTGCAGCTGCTCCGGTGTAGCCCAGTTCTGCTCGACCGGGTCCCAAAGGTCCCCCACCATATAAATGCCTTCTTTACCCAGGTAAGCCAGGGGGAGTTAGCTGTGAGCGGAAGCGGGTTGCCCATTTCATCCAAGACAACGGGATTGCCAAATAGCGGCTGTCTCCATATGGAGTGCCATCTATTAGCTGGAGACTTCTGTTTGGGCCCTTGTTTCCTCCATAGTTTTAACATGTATGGCCAGAGGGGGTCAAGGGCTATGTCCTGCCTGGTGGCCAGCACCACACCTGCCGCATGCCTGTGCCGGCGGGGGCTCGGGATTGTCCAGTAGCTGTTGGTGAGCCACTGGAGGGGGTGCACCCGGTGAGGAGGATCAGATTGGGGTGCCAGACTGGCTATCTGCACGTAGGCCAAGGGGGCCCAAGGGATGTCATTGCCCACGAGGAGTCTGGTTAGCACTGAAGATCATGGCCTCACTCTCCCTTTCAGGATCCAGTATCCCCAGGCCCCCTTTGGCTCTTGGTTGTGTGAGGGTGTCCCAACTCACCCTGCTCATGCAGCCCTCCGATTTGGCGCTGTTCTTCCACAAGTATGTTGTGAGCGCCTTCCTGAGCCTGGTAAATTGTCTGTTACATGCTGCCCTTTCATGTGGACTGAGTGTGGAGTTTTGTACAGCGAATGATAAACACACACCAAGGGAGTCCAGATACCATCCAACCGAACTGTGTGGGACCGCAGATACTCCATGGGATGGTCGTCATAATGTTTCTCAGGCTTTATCCCAACCCTTGAACTACGTTAGTATCCATGGTTTTAGTAGTTCACCTCATGTTGAACAATCCGAGCATTCTTCACGCTCACACAAACTTCATTTAATCCATCCCACAGGATTTCACACAGACCTAAAAACAATTGTTGACTCTCAGAAACAAGTGTTGATCAGCCGCTAGCGCCGTCGGGTTAGCGCTAATGCCGCTCCGCTAATTCAGCAGCCGTGGGGAGAGACGGCTGACCATGCTCCGCCATATCTGCCGTAGAGGGAGCGACACCTCCTGGAGGTGGACAGAGGGCACACGAGCAGTGCGCAGCAGCCGTGAAGAGAGACGGCCGACCACGCTCCGCCATAGCCGCCGTAGAGGGAGTGACACCCCGGAGGTGAGCAGAGGGCACATGAGCAGCGCGCACATACAACTAAGCCACGCCAGACCCCGCTGATGTCAGCGACGATAGTGGCACAATGCAAATCTAATATTTTTTTTCAAAAATCGCAAGGAACAGGATACGTAGGCAAAGCGCCAGCACAGCACATCGCTAGGTGAAGCAGTGGCCATGTGGCTGCCACGTTGAACCACGATATCGATATTGACGCGGAAGCAGAAGATACACGGGTGAGATGCCAACGCAACAAAAGCAAAATAAAGTATAAAATCACCAAAAAAAAAACTGTACAGGCAGGGTGACAGCGAGAGAGAGGCGAGACGAGGAGAGGAAGCTATCCAGCTTGCACATTTTTGGGTACAAACACAGGGAGCGCCAAGCAAGAAGACCACCGAGTTGGCAAAAACGAAAGGAGGGATCAACGAGTACACATCATGGCGACAGCAGGAGCGATGGCGGCGACCAACATGGAGATCTCCTATGCAGCAGTGGTGGGGACACATCATTCGTCAGCGACAGCTGGAGCTAGGTCATCCAACAATCCAGTCAGCAGTGAACAGGAAGTCGAACAATCTCCAACCAAACTAGGTCAATGGGCGCTCGACTTCTTGATCAACAGGACACGGATTAAGTCACAAGTCAAAGTCCTCAAAGAGAAGTTGCGCATCGAGGTGGGGAGGAGATGGAGGTCGATGTCTGGGAATATCCAGAAGAAGACATGGAAGAAGTAAATGCACTCTATGAAAATCATGCGGTGCTTTTCAACTTCTCCCATAAGAGCAAGGACCTCTCCCTTAACGATAAACATGCCTGGGTGCTCGATCGTCTCAGAGCCTTGCAGACCCTCCTGAGAACGGAGCCGAACATATCCCCTCACAAGAGAGGGAGGAATACAGTTATGGTACTCTGCGTCGAGGAAAGCTACGCCAAGTACCTGAAATCTTTGGATTCCCTCACCTGTAAAGGATCGGTGGTTACCATCAGAGGATGGAAACCACAGAAGGCACCGCAAGGAGCGGCGACTTGACATCGACAAAACATGCTACGGGGGCATTTCTGGGTTCAAGTCGATAACTTGTCCGAAGGACTTCACAGCATGATACACAAGCGCCTGGAATCGGAGTATCCAAACAATCCGGTCGTTGCATGGCTGGAAACTGGACCAGATTTCCCTGCCCCAAACCACGACTCGCGGTTTGCATGTCTCAGCGTCCCGTCAGGAGAGCCGACGACATTCCCGAAAGTTTGGCTCTTTCGAAAAAACGGCCAACGGGCGGCGGTTTACGTGTCAACAAAAACCAATCCAGCCTGTTTTCGCTGCAGAGGGCGCGGGACATTTGGGGAATGACCCAAACTGCCCTGCCAATCGTGCAGCGGGGAGACATCAGGAAGCCAATCCGACGCAACTGATTGAGTGCAAATCAAAATCAGGCGTTTGGTATATCAATAGACCTGAATTCTGAGGTTGGATTTTCGATGATAACCTTACTACGCCAAGATGGGTCTGGACGCTGGCTCAACAACCATCAGTCAAGCCAGACATCTATCCACCATATGACAGCAGATGGAGGCAGGCTGGAGCCAGAAAGATGGAGCAGGAAGGAGTTGGCCACCTGGTCAAACCGATGACCCACAAAGACAGTGCTGAAGAGGATAAACAAAAACTACAAACGATGGATGAGTTGGCCAAAATTGGAGAACTGGACGAAAAGACGTACTACTCACTTGCACCAACTGACAAGACCAAGCGAAGATGCAAAAGCACCGGTGGTGACAAACAGACTACACCGACGGGCCAAGACATGGAAGTAGAGAAGAAGGAAACAGCTGACGGAGAGGGACGAAAGAGGAAGAAGGAGAAAGGAACTGACACACTCAGCCGGGAGGGGGATCGCAACCACAACCACGATCTGTCGGAAGATGAAGAGGGTGAAGGAGACGACGGAAAGGAGGACCAAGAGCGGCTCCAACAGGCAGTCAAAGATTTGGAACAGGTGCGAGATTTGGAATTTAAACTCCAACAAGCGCATCACCGATATCCCCGCAAGGTGCAGCAGGCAGGTGCGAGAACGTCAAAGAAGCAAACGGCTGCCCCCAGCAGCAATCGTTTCGATGCTTTGCAGATGGAGAACGAGATGCCATAATTCATGGCGCAGCAATACAGCATCAGAACCAGAGTCGACGGGGACACCCTCCACGTTGACAACCCAGACTACACACGATGGCCAAGTACATACACAGATAAAGAAGAGCTACCGAGTAAGGCCAAGCGAGGCAAGAAAGCACAAGGCGGAACAGGAACAGACGAACACCCGAAACAAGCCGCAGGTCCGCAGACAGAACCAGGCATGAAGGCAGACCCCAGAAGGAAGATGCGCATTACAGAAGCACAAGTTGCCGCTCTCACTGCGACGAACAAGCTTTTCGCAAACAAGCACCAGTCCCTACAACAAACCGCAGACGATCAGGCAGCGGAAGTCGAGGCTGCGGCACGAGTGGACGCCAAAAAAAACGAGCACAGACGCATACTAATCCCCTGCCGATGGAACATGGCCCACAAAGACTGAGAGGTGGCAGCACACAAAACAGGAGCACTGATTACAGTCATGGACGACACACTTAACGATGGCACACTCAAAAAAAATTGCAGAAGCACTCACACCGATGTTTACGCTGGGAGGTCACTGAGGACACAATGAAGAATGGAAGGATGTTGAGGGTCAGAAACATGTGGCAGACCTTCGCCCGGTGTTGGTGCATGTGAAAGAGCAAATCGCTCTCACAGATGAACTGCAGTGGGTATCATGGCAAGTAGTGGAGGCTGGGAATAGGCGTAGCCCCGGAGAGGGCGGCTTTCGGAGCAGCACTGATTTCTAGCCACAGGCTGTTCCTGTCGGATGCAGCAGGCTGGTACAAAAGATCACCGCTCTGTCACAGAAGAAGGAGATGCAGTATATCAATAACTAGGACCTTCCCACCAACAGTTGAGCTCAAAACCCCTCGCATAATGAAAGCATGGACGACCAGGTCGAAGCGCCGGCTTACAGAGCGGTCACCCAGACGCCAGACTTGAAGGTGGTATCATGGAACATCAACGGCCTGGCTACAGTCCTTAACAACCAGCAAAAATGGGATGACATCACAAGGGCGGTGGACTGGTACGGAGCTCGCCCTCCGGCATCCTCTGCTTACAGGAGACTCATCTGACGACGTCGCTTGAGCACCAGCAAATACAGCAAGAAATCCAGCGTAGACTGAGATCGGTTAAACATGCCCATTGGGCACCAGCACCAAGACCTGGCTCCGCAGGCACAACAATCCTCATACACAGCAATACCGAAGCAGCAAAGAACATGATCATGGAGACCCACCTGGTGGACATCCGGGAAGGCAGATGGGCACAGTTGGATATTAACCTCAAGCAGGAACATTTTCGACTGATTACCCTGTACTGCCACACACTCCACCACAGAACGACCATGCTGCAGACCTTACAGCCACAATGCACTATGCCAACACACCTCTTGCTGGTCGGGGACTGGAACGAAGTTCTCGAAACAAGCATGGACAGGATGTCGGGAGGAGCCTCAGGCCTGGAAGGCCCCGCGTGGGCAGAGGCGGCCCCCATCCACAACCTCATGACAAAGCACAACTTGGTGGACCCACTGAGGATGTTGCGACCTACAGACAAAGTCTTCACCTGCCTCAAACGTAACCGAAGCCAACACGTCTCAGCATCGCGCATTGAGTACTTCCTGCTGTTAGACGGACTCAGAGGTGCAGTTCAGGCGACGGGTATCAGTCAGCTGCCTTACACTCCAGGGCTCGACCATAAACACATACACATTGACATAGTTTTGGACGCGGCACCCAAGCGTGGACCTGGCTTCTTCAAAATCAACAACTCGCTCTTGGAGACACAAATCATGAAGGACACCGTTCTCCAAGCCTGTGAAGCACACGGTACGAGATTCACCACTTTCCCACAACTGGTGGGCAGCCTCTCTAACGCCACGACCAAGGCATCCCGAATCCTAGCAGCCAGAAGGACAGCAAAAGAAAGAGAGCTCCAAGCGGTACTGCAGGTGGCAGAGCAGAATCTGATGGCTAACCCAGGATACACAAACGGAAGATGCCTTGTACGCAGCCAAGCAGCAGTTGGCAGACTGGATGAAGTGGAAAGAGATGGGCATCTAATTGCGAGCTAGAGTTAAAGAATTGGAAGAGGGGGAAAAAATGACCAAGTATTTTTTCCAAAAAATAAAAACTAACTCCTGAAACAAGCTGATTGACCGATTGAGTACTCCGGAACGACCGACCTCCAATCCGCAGCAAATGCTGCAGATTGCCGCGGACTGAGAACTTACACCACAAAGGAAGACCGTCTACAGCCACAACAAACGCAGGCAGCTCGACAACAGTTTTTGCCACATATGGACATGATCATATCGCAACAACAGAGTAAAGATTTGGACATACCAATCATGCAGGCCGAGGTAAGAGAGGCTCTACACTCACTGCAGCCGAACAGAACACCTGGTCTTTCTGCCAGACATTCTGGCCGATCTTTGAGAACGAATACATGCAGTTTCTGCGTAAGGCTGAACAAGACGAGGGCTTGGGCAAATACATCAGCACAAGAGTGGTTACCCTTCTGTACAAGAAGGGTGACCCGGCGATATCAGAAATTACGGGCCAATAACACTCCTTACTGTCGTCTACAAAGTGCTCGCCAAGTTACTAGCAAGATCACCAACAGCCGCTTCCACATAGATCAAACAGGTTTCATTCCAGGACGCTTCATCCTCGATAACGTTATGTCCCTGTCAAAATCTGTGCGCTACATCACGGACAGGAGACTCAACGCGGCCATACTTTTCTTCGATTTCGAGAAAACCTACGACCAGGTCAATTGGAATTTCCATCAGCAGTGCATGGAGAAAATTGGTGTGGGCCCTAATTTTCGAAGATGGGTGCGAGTCCTCTACAACCATGCCCATGGCCAGGTGCAAATCAACGGGTTCGTGTCGCCGCTGTATAAAATTTCCCGATCAGTTAGACAAGATGATCTGCTGGCGGCCCCGCTTTTTCTGTTCACAATGGAGGCAGTGGCATCCTTCCTAAGTTCCTACGCAAGGACTCGTCGATAGACAGACTGATAGCTGAGCCAGCCCCCCCCGGGGCATGTGGTCCACCTTCCTACCGCACTTCTATTTGCCGACGACCTCACAGCACTGATAAGAGTTTCTAACGCCTCTTTTCACGCACTCACGAGAGCCATGCAAGCTTTCCGGCTGGCGTCGTAGATGAAGGTAAACTGGTAGAAGACCATGGGGTGGTGGTTAGCGGACACACCACGCCCTCCAGCAGACGTCATGCCAGAGGGTTTCACATGGCAGAACCTGAAAACTCGTTATTTGGGGATAAAACTCACTAATGCAGGCCCCGATCATGCGATGGCTCCAGAAATCCTTACTAAGCTGCTGCGGAAACTGGACACATGGTCCAGCATCTATACGTCAGTCTTCGGTTAATCTCTGATACTCTACGCTTCCGTCTTCTCAATGCTCTGGTATGCTGCCTCCATCTGGACCCCAACAACGCACACGGCTGGAACCCTCAAGAAACGGGCTACAACCTACTTGTGGACAGGTAACCCATCTAGAACAAACTATATAGCAAAGTGGTATGGTCTCACCTCATCCAACCAAAGGACAGAGGACTGCGCTTATAGGACCTCGCCACGCAGATGAAAGCTCTGTAGACCAAGTGGGTGGTTAAACCACCTGCACCTGGCCCAGCTATCGAGTCCGAGCCTCGGCCGACCGGTACGCCGATCCGTGCCGACGCTCGGACTACCAGGCGCAGGCATCCCGAACGTGCAAAAGGTACACAACGGAAAAAACGGGCAAAAAAAAACGAAAAAAAAAAAAAAAAAAAGAAAAACGATCCGAACGTGCAAAAGGTAAACAACAAAGAAAACGGAAAATAAAAACAAAAAAAACAAAGAAATAAGAAAAACGAATGGGTTCAAAGCGGGAACATGCATTCCCATTTCGTTTCG